AATATAAAGAAAAATAAGATAAAAAATAAAAATAAAAAATAGTTTTTATTAATAATAATAAAATAAAACAGGTAAAATAATATTTTATTAAAGAATAATTTAAGATACAAGAGCACTTGTATATAAGTAAAGAACTAAAAAAAAAATTATCTAAGAACTGTCCTTTTAGAAAAACAAAAAACTATTTTTTTTTAGCTTTTAATCTAATAATTAATTATTTTAGAGTTATTATATGTTGTAGTATCATCCTGAACTATATGGACATCCAAAAAGTAAGAAATTTTATATGCATTTTACCAATAATGCTTGTACACAAATGATAAACCAATATTGATCTTTCTATTTTTTTAATACTTAGCCTTCATTGTGCAATAACTTACATATTAACTAAAAATAAAACAAATATTATTATGTAGCCCATATGTTTATCTACAAAACTCTCTATAGTTATTTAATATTTAAAAGTCTTTTTACAGATGTTGTTCTAAATACAACTAAAAATAATTATAATAGTATATAGAAATTATGTAGTAACACTATAGTAAATATTGCATTATAATTCATAAATATTAATTAATTATAATTAAATTAATTGTTTTATATAAGAATGTAATGACTTAGTTAAGTGAATAAGTTGTTAATCTCTTAAGTAGTAGGTTAAGAGTTCAAAACCTATCGATAGTATAAATTTGAAAAACTACTTATATAATATTAGTATTATAGAAGATAAGCAATATTATAGCAACAGCAATCTGTTGATCAGTTTGGATAAGATACTTGTAACTAAGATTACACCAGCATAACTAGCAGGTCATAAGGCATTTGCACAATGTTGAAGTTATATAAAAGAATGCAAACTGATATTAAGTGATGCAAATCCAAAATAAGTTCTTGTAGTTATATAAATTTGTAGAAATGGGAAGCTAAAGCCCACTTGGAAAGACCTAAGTAGATAGGTAGAACAGATTTTTAACAGTACTACTGTAAAGGCTAAATCTAGAAAATAAATATTGATGTAAAAGAAATTAGGCAGACAAGAACTTTGGTAAGAGGTATCATCAACTAGGCTATCAGAAATCTCGAACTAGACAAAAAGAATCTTAAAAAGACAGACCTTTGGAATATTAAGAACAAATTACAGTTCTTTCAGACTATTTGGATTAGAAGTCTAAGAACTAAAGCAAAGTATAGCTAAATACTAGAGATATACTATAAAGTCAGTACTAAGGTTTGGATAAACTTTACAAGAATTAACTCTGTTAACAAAGATTAAATATAAATAGTTAGTAAAAGGTCTTCTGAAGCTTTACAGTTAGGTGATGTACTTTGAAATATATAATGACTTAACAGATGTATAGACAGAAAGGTTAGGATTAGGTTAGATAATACTTCAGTGTACAAAAACTTGTAGACTATCTGCTAATATAGTATAAAGGTTACCTTGTACAAATTATATAATTATAATTGAATTTACAATAAAAATAATAGCTGCTAATAATTAATAACCTTAGTAAAAGCAAAAAAATAAATTAAAATATTAATTACTTCATCATTTTGGAGTTTTCTGAAATATTTGGAATATTTGAAGCATGACCTGGAGCCTTTGGTCAGAGCCTTTGTAATACTAAATAACTATTATTTTAAATATCCAAATAACTATTAGCTAAAATAAAATACTATAAGAAATCTACTAATAAAATAAATATTAACCTATTAATAAATAATTAAAACTAATAAAATAATCTATAAACTATATAAAAATATTAAAACAATATATAAAATATAATATAAAACTAAAAATAAAGGAAATTGATATTTTTATATTTTTTTTTAATATTGTTACATCTCTGTTTATAAATATTAATATAGATTATTAGAGGTTTAGTAGGTTTAGAGTTATCAGAGATGTAGCAATATCAAAAAATAGTATAGAAATATCAATTTTTAAAATAAATATACAATAATAGAAAAAAAGTAAATTCTATTATAATATATAAGCAATACAAATAAAATATGAGTATATTTAAAAAAATAAAAGAAAAAAAGAATAAGTAATATATAATGCACAGAATTAACAACAGTTAGAAAAGATAATTAAAAAATAATAATAATATTAGTAGAACATTAGCAAATATAAAGTAAAGAAAACAAATTAGCTATTAAAATTAATAAATATAAAGGTTGTATAAAAAAAAAATACTTAGAAGATAGCTGCTAGCAGTAGATAAAAATAAACAACAGAATTAATATGATTTTAGATGTATTGATAAAAAAAGATAGCAACAAGATCAAGATAGCAATAGACCAAATAATAGAAACAATTAAGATAAACAAACCAGTAATTAAAGAACAGAAACTTAAGAGACTAAAAATAATAGAAGAGCTAAAAGTAGAGATAATTAGATAACAAAAGTTAAAAGTAAATATTAGTTAAAAAATAATAGAAGTTTTAAAAAGAAATATAAAAAATAAAAACAAGTATATAATATACACAAATAGAGTAGCAAGCTTAAAAACTAAAGATATAAGAATTAAAAATAGTATAGGCATAAAGTAAGTGCAAACAGATAAAACACAAAAATTACTAAAAGAAAAATTAGTACTAGGTTTATAAGAATAACAAATATTAATAACAATAAAGTTAATAGTGATATAAGTAGCAATATTAATAGTATCAAAGAAAAAGCAAATAAAAATATATATAGATAGCAATGCTGCAATAAGAAATATTAATAGAGATTTAGAACAAGTAAACAGAAATAAGATTCTCAAGAAGAAGAATGTGATATAAATAATAAAAATTAGAGATCTTATTACGACAAAAAACATTCAAATAGAGTTTATTAAAGTTAAAAGTTATAATAAAATAATAAAACTAATAGCCTAGTAAAAAAAGATGCAATAAGTAAAAAGATAATATAGATCAAAAAAATTAGTTGTGAAGAGATAGTGTACTATCTAGAATAGAAAAATAAATATACTGATATACTAATAAAATTGTTTTGCAAGTTAATAATAAACATAAGATTAGAAGCAAAATAGAAAGAAATAAAAACAATTAGAGAATTAGAACTAAAACCAGAAGTTATGATTTATAATTGGATATATTTTTAAAAAAGACTAAAAATATCTAAAAAAACATACTGTATAATAAAAAGAAATAAAATTAGAAAAAGATTATTTATAAAGTATATAATGAATAAATTTTCAACTTTAAAAGAACTTAATAAAAGAAGACCTAATATATATACAACAACAGAATGCCAAGTATACCAAAATAAAATGAAAAAAATACAAATACATTTGGTAGTATGTAAAGAACAAAGGAATCTTTAGAAAAGAATCCAAAAAATGACTATTATAACAGCTTGAAAAAGACTAAAAAAAGAAGAAAAAATTTAGTTTTCTTCATATATATAATATATAATGCTTTTTGAAAAAACTAAAACAGAAAAATAAAAATAAGAAAGATACTAATTCAAGATCTTATTTCAAAAAAATCACATAACAAATTGAGACAGCTTCTAAATATAAAATCAAGGTAGCAGTTTATAATTGTAATAGTAAAAACAACTTGAAATATATTCTATAAACAAGTATAAAGAATTTGATATAAAAAAATTAATAAATAGGAAAAAAATAAAAAAATAATAGGTAAGATAAAAAAAAGAAGAGAAAAAAAAAAAAAACATTAAGTAAAAAAAGAAATCTAAATTAGTAAAAAATAAAAAAATAAAAAAAAATTAAAAAAAAAAGAAAAACAACTTAAAAAAACACAGAAAACAATTTTAGAGCTTGTTATAAAAAAGAAAAGACCCTTTTATTATAAACTTTAAGTAGTCAAATAAGCAGCTTACTTCTACTTAAAGTAATGCAATAGGTTGCACTTAGGTACTATTAAAATAACTAGATAATGCTGAACTTAGTTGTTAAAGATATTTATGTTATTGCAAATATAATTTCAAAATCTTAATAAAATACTAATATAACTGCTTAAAGAAAAAAAAAAAGAATTTTAATCTAAAAATTTTTAAGTTTAAAATTAATAATATTATATAAAGATTTTTGATTATAATTCAAGTAAAATCAAATAGATTTTTAATTAATATTTTGATTAAAGTATAACTACTCACTATTTTATTTTTGTAATATCTAATAATCTAAACTTATTATTTATAATACAATTGTAACTTATTAATTTAAGTTGCAAATTGTTAAAATTTAAAAACAAGATCTTATCTTAATATTCAAAAAAAATATAATTAAAAAAATTATAATTAACAAATTTAACTTGTTATACTGACAATCATAAATATAATAGAATAAATTTTATTATTTGAAACTTCTAAAAATATTTATTCGAATTTTTTAAAACTTTTTATAACAAATTGTTCTGAGATCAAAACACTAGCATAAAAATTTTATAAATAAAACTTAAAAATTTTTTGCTAAAGGTTTGATTTTAGAACAACTTTGCTATAAAAATTTTTACAAAAATCCGAAAAAATATTTTTTATAAGTTTCAAATAATGAAATTTATTGTTATTAAAAAAAATTTTAATTTTTGTTAAAAGGTTTTATTATAAGTGAAAATTTCAATAGTTAATATGTTTTATTATAAAAATAATCACGTGTTGCGTTATTTATGATTGCCAGTCTAGACAAAAAAAAAACTAAAAAAAAAACTAAAAATAACGAGCACACAAAAGAAGCATTAATACTACAATATTACCAAGAAATATAGCAAGAAAAAAAGCATGCAATATAGCAAACAGACCAAATATTAGTAATAGCAAAATAGGAATCGTAACATCAAGTTATTTCAGCTCATGATCAGTCCGGAACTATGAACCAATTTTTAAGCAGTTAAACGTTTCCAATCTTTGCTTTGGATATAGCCCTAACCTACCTTCAAATTCTATATTAAAAATTTTACTTGAATACAAATTAAATATTAAATATTCTTAAGTTATGCAAAAAAATATATAATAACAGTGTTATTAACAATACTCGAGCTTTTTAATAATTAAATTAAATTTTTCACCCCAAAATTGTGATTTCTATATATAATGACAAAATTTAAAATGGTATGATGCATTATATGCAAGGAAAAGTCAGATGAAATAATAAAAAAAAAAACAAATAATAATAATAATGATAATCAATATTGGTGAGTAATTTTCAATTGTGTAAAAGAATTAAATGAAAAGTTACAAAACTCCAAAAGGGGTGAACAATGGGTTGTAAGAACAGTACGTGAAATGCGAAATAAATTCCAGCGCATTTCTCCATTTATTAATGATATCAATCAAATATAAAGCTAATAAAAAAAGCCATCTCTAAAAGAAATCATTGAAGACAACCTGAATCAATGACAGACTTAGTATTTTATAATGACAATGAAGACAATCAACTGAAGTTACATATACCCAAATTCATGCTAGTTAAAAACACGTGCTATAAGATTTTTCTATGGTTTATAATTTGAACCAAGCGCCTCTTTAAAATTCAAGTTAAGAAGAGCCATCAACATATCCTATAATAATAAAATAAAATAATAAACACTGTCATTTACGATATTAACCATAAACGAACCTAACTAATTGTTAACATATCGCATACCTGCAGTACGTGTATAATTATCACAATCATTGCTACAACCATTTCAGGATATTCATCAAAATCCTTTACAGCTGACTTAGAAATACTATGCTTGAATGCTTTTCTAAATATTGATCTTGTAATGCCGGCACTGGCAAGTTCAAATGCCCAAATAATACAACTCATTTTCAAAGTCAAATAGAAGTCGAAAGGATTCCCTGCTTCATTGAATTTAAAATAAGGATATACATCATAATTGGGACCATAATGTATAATACATATCCAGCAAATAAACCCAATCATTGTCGCATTCTCTGCAAGATTTCGAATAAAAAATGACCTCCCACATTGTTTTTTATATTCATCATAGTCCTTTCGAAGCCCTAAAAAGCACACTAGATTTGTATGAACCGTCCGTGTCATGCACAGTGGGTAAAAGATACAAACCCATAAAGAACTGGCAGCTTGGATAAGTATATATTGATCCGGATCACGAAGTCGTGCAAAAAGATTACGATAGAAAATGAAATAGATCATAAAAAAGTAAAGTTTGAATGTAAATTGAAGAGGATACGATTTTACGCGAGATTCTATAATGTACTCGGTTACTGCGTCGAGTATGTAAATGGTTGCAAGCCATGAGTAAACGTAAACGAATGCATCTACTCCTGTGTGCGCCTCCGGTGTTGTTAAGAAAACATAAGTATATGCTTCACCAGCTATAAATGCAGCAATTACGATAAATAAAGTGAAACAGAACCACAAGAAGCGGACATATGATGAAGGCATGCGATATTTCGATTGACGTAATTGACGTTCAAGAAATGTCTTTTGAGCCAATGTAAACGAAAACCGATAAGGGATTCTACTTGTTTGCCCACGAATGACGATGAATCCCACCAATAATGGCATATTCATCGTGATAAAGGTGAGCAAGACCCAAGTCAAATTGTATTTTACCAGATTAGTATACAGGTATATTATGACGCCACCAATAAGAGACGAAAGCCAAAACACGACATAAGCGAAACAACCACCGAGCCACTTTGGCCACCAATTCAAAGAATACAGATCGAACATTTTCGTGACCATCAAAAGTGCTATGGCATTGTAGAATCCATAATAAAAAAATAGAAAGAACCAAAAGTTGATTTCTACAGGATTATCATCATGATTTGGTAAATGGAAAATGTTTATAACGTTCGTATATGCCGAAGATCCAAAGTGTTTTATTGAACCGCTTGGATCATAAATTGGGAAAGGAACAGCGCACCAAGCCAGAACCTGTAAAATATTAACATGATGATAAATAAAAAGGTTATTTTTGAAATTCAATTTATGAATTATAAGAAAAAAAATCATACCACTGCTACTGGAAACACGTTCAATATCAATGTACGCTTCCACGTAACGTGAGTCCACTCCTGAACTTGTTTCTTTGTTGGTCTTATTCCAAATAAAAGGTGAGTACGTTCGTCAGGTTCTCCAGGGGAAGGAAGTGGTGGCCGGTTTGTGTTTGTGTTGGTAGGATGTATTCTGAATCGACCAGGGGAAAATTGAACAGTGTCTACATACAAGGATTGAGAGACCGCCAAAATGTTTTAAAGATAATAGGCCGGCAAAAATTGAAACAAAAAAACTAAAAACAACTTAAATATTATTGCGCGAGATCCCAGTAAGTACGAATTCAGTAGACTGTTTTTGCTTACCATCGTATTGAGAGTCGTGTTCATCACCCTGGTTTAATGCTTGAAACATATGTGTCATTTATATCAGAACAGATAGTTTAGTTTTGTATATAAGATTAAGGATATAAGTGCCGGAAAATTCTTTCACAAAACGACTAATAGCCGATTTTATGTTATCACTTTTATTTTGGAGAATGACTCAATCGTAAGGACCAAAAAAAAAAAAAGGAGTGTAACATAAACAGTACTTGTCGTCATATGAGATACAGTTTTTTTTGAAATCACGTGTAACATGAACGGAAATTTTGTATAAAAAGAGGTAATTTAGTAACGGTAAAGCAGGTTATACAGTTTAATCTAGTCTTTATAGTTGGTACGTCTATATACTGTACGTATACGTATATATACTACGATTAAAAGTTAAGCTATCTTACTATTTAAAAATTTTAGATAGGTTTATTATTATTATTCTTGGAAGGTAAACGTTACTACTGGTCAGTTTATACTTTATTAGATTACTTTTACTTATTTGTTATCCAATCTGGTTTTCATAATTAATATGATTAAACTTGCAATATTTGCTTTCTGAAAAGATTTTAACTTACTAGAGTTACTTTTTTGTTTATAGATCGTATTGCGAAGTTTATTAATTTTTTAGATTTTATATACTTTATAATTGTATTTTGCTTTATAGTTATACAATCGACTCTGGATATACCGAATTGCATGTTTGGGGGGTTTTGTTCGGTATAGAGCAGTGATGGCAAAATGATAAATGACTTTTTTACGTATAACAAATAAATGACATGTAAATTTATAAAAAATAATTAAAATCATACGACATTCAACTCAATAATTTTGCCAAATTACCATCACTGGTATAGAGTGGGTTCGTTATATAGATTATTTTTTCTATACCGAACAGTTCGGTATACAATGAAATCATGTGTAGGACCACAAATTCTCGAAAAATTCTGCTCCGTTTCGGAATATTTCGGAACGGGTAATATATAAACAAATAGCTCATTATATCGAAATATAAGCATAAGTCCTGAGCCGGTAAAGAAAAGTTCGGAAGTGGTATATAAAAATTTACAATATTAGTTTGGTATAACCAACCTAAATTCTTATAAAAAATCAGTTTTGTCAGATCTGGTTTGTTATAACTCAAGTTCAATATAAGCAGGTTTGTATATTCAAAGTTGATTGTATTATTTAATTAATGTATGTTTTTTTTTGTTTTTTTTTGAACTTTGGTGACACTGCTAGTTGGTTTATTAGGTTCTAAATTTGATATAGTACAATATGAGGTTACATTTTACATGTTCATTATTAGTATTATATTTGCTATCTTAATCTTATATTACTGATTTCATTTAGTTATTTATATAGCATCTAAGTTTATGTTCATTACATGTTTGCACATAGTTATTTTGGCAATTACTTGCAATCAGAACATATTAAATTATAACACAAACAGAGATACTTTTAAAACTTAATATAATATTCTAAATATCAAAGTTATTGTTTTTTGTAATTGTATTTATATATTCTATTCATACATTTTATCTAGTTTTGTTTTTTTTATTTTCTAATCTAATTATATTTAATAATATTTTGTTTTTTATATTTTTTATTTTTTTGTTGCTGTATTATTCTCAAATTGACTCTACTTGAATATGTATAATTTTTATAATCTTTTATTTTTTTTTCAGGTTTAAAAAGTAATATCTATCACCTCTTCCTTCATTAACAATCAATCCACAACAACTACCTTGCATCTTTCAATCATGTCAACTTACTGACAGTTTACAGTCTA